CTACCAGTTCCACTGCTTTACCTGTGCCGTCTTTTCAGTGTGTTTCGATCTCTGGTAGGGCAAATCCTCCCCCATCGTTCTTCCTTTAAAAAATATTCTTGGCTGTCCTTATGCATTTACTGATCCAGATGGATTTTAGAATAAACTAACCATGTTCCATTTTAAAAGTTCCCCATGGACTTCTGAAGGGAGCTGGGGGAATCCTGACACAGGTGAGGTGGAGTGTCTGGAGGCTGAAAGGCCCCTGTCTTTCTAAGTAACCTCTTTGACCTCGTGGTAGTCTTGTCCTGGAGAATGGTGCAAGGACTCCTTTTCCAATATTAGCATTTAGCTCAGGTTTTATTTCTTCTCAAATGAACACCCAGGTCAGGTGCACACTTGAGTACACCTGTGGTGGGTTTGGTCACATGAACACAAGGCCATGAAGCCCCCCGAAACTGGAACAGCATGGGGCTCCTCGGCCAGCCAGGGCTGTCAGCCTGGAAGCCGCCCACCCTGAAAGTGGAGGAAGGGGCTGCCTCCTCTTCTCTAAAGGGTCTTCACTGTGTTCTAGACAAATACAATGACTTCATCGAGGCCAATCGCATTGAAGACTCGAGGGAGCGGATGAAGACGCTACGGAAGCTGGTAAGGAGCGAGAGATGCTGTTAGGGAAGATGCAGACTGGGCTGGGCGAGCACCGCTGCCCCAGAGGCCCAGAGGCCCAGATTCCAGTGCCACCAGTTCTCTCTGTGACTTTGAGAAGCTCTTCTCCACTCTGGTCTCAGTTTCTCCATCTGTACAAGGGGGTCAGTTAGAGGGTGGATTACAGGCTCACTAGGATATGGCATTGAGAGCCCCCTTGGGGTGTGGTGGACAGGGGGAGGCCATCACAGCTTGGTCACATGCCCCTCTCTCTCCCACCCAGATCCGGGACCTCCCAGGACACTACTATGAAACACTCAAATTCCTCGTGGGCCATCTGAAGACCATTGCAGACCACTCGGAGAAGAACAAGGTTAGCCGGGGCTCTGGCATGGAGTATCAGGGAGGGAAGTACACCTGGGTCTCCTTGGCACAGTCTGAGCTCCTCAGGATCAAATGCTCTCAAGCCCCTCTAAACACACCCTCCTCCTTAAAGGTCACTCTATCTCCCCCGCACCCCTACGTGCTGGTTAGTGCTTCTCCCCAGAAAGCTGTCTCCTGAGTTTCTGAGAGTCTTCCCGAGGCCCAGCGCCACAGTCCCCTGTGGCAGATGGAAATCCGTGCTCTGATTTAGCTGGAATCCCTTGCATTGCATTTCCCTAATCACACCTCTTAGATCTTCCGGTTCTGCCGTGAGAAAAATGAAGGGAGCCTATAGTATTTCTCTTAATCTCTTGGAATGTGCTCTGGACCCCACCTCTGGGATCTCCCATTGCTAGCACAGTATGGGTGTGCAGATTAGGCACTGCCCGTGGCTGCCAGGCCTGAGGGTGAGCAGGGCTGAAATCTTGCTTGTGCTCTACTTACCAGGCACCTCCATGCTCATGCAAGGAGGTGTTCAGCCCCTAAGCTAGGGACAGCCCAGGATGTGATTGAGACAGGGGCCTGAGGGACCCTGAATGAGGAAGGCCTGGGGGACTGGAATCAGGCTCACAGGGTTATTGATGCTGACCTGCTCCCTCCACCGCCCAGATGGAGCCCCGTAACCTGGCCCTGGTCTTTGGGCCAACACTGGTGAGGACGTCAGAGGACAATATGGCGGACATGGTGACCCACATGCCTGACCGTTATAAGATTGTGGAGACGCTGATCCAGCATGTGAGTAGTCGCCCCAGCCAGGACGTGTTCTCCTGGGTACCTTGCTCCTGCTTGCCTGGGTGGGTGTGCTCAGGGAAGGATGAAGCAGCTTAAGAAAATGCTCCTGGGGTGGTGAATACTCTTCAGAAGCAATAGGCTGTGTTTCAAGGCCAAACAGGAAGTGATCCTAGAATCCTGTTGTTCTGGGATGTCACATCCCCAGCAGGAGAATCAGGAGGTCCCTGAGCTTCCAAGATGTCCATGAGGTTCAGAGGGAGGAGGATCTGAGAAGGAGCTGCTGGGTTGGAGAGTGGAAGTGGTGAAGGCAGAGGTGCCTTCAGAAGGTGGCCCCCAGGAGAGGTGACCTGGCGTAAACAGGCAGAGACAGGTGCAGAGCAGAGGAAGAGCTCTGCTCTGCAGGCCCCACTGAGGCTTAAGGGAGGAAATGGTGATGCCCAGGCTAGGGCAGGGCCTGGCATGGGCTGAGGCAGGATTCTGCAATGGTGCTACGTGTCTTGGGTTGGTCACCTCCTTTCTCTTGGCTTCATGGAGGCCTCGAGTCCTGTGTTTCTAAGGATTCTTGTTATCTGTCCATGAAGGGATGAGGACCAAGTAACCAGCAGAGGGCGCAGGAGGCCTTTTTCTTCCAGAGCCAGACCCAGGGCAGCACTGACCCCTTCTGGGACACTCAGGGTTTTTTTTTAATAACTCTTAGATTTTCCATTTCCAAATTTTGGTATGGACCATAGTCCAGCCCACAAAATACAGAACCAGATCCCCTCCTGCCAGGAGAAATAAGATTGGCAGCTGGTCAGAGGAAGTGGAGGGAGCCTCAGCTTCCTGCACCTCATAGGCACTTTAGGGAAGGGATACTAGATCACATTACTCCATTTTATAGATGAGGAAACTGGGGCACAGAGAGGCAAAGTGACTTGCTCAAGGTCACACAGATAATAAATGTCAGTCCCAGGACTGTAACCTGGATCTGTCTGACCAAAGCCTGTGCTTTCCTCCCCACCTACTTGGAGGGCAGATTCTGTCCTAGAGCGAGGGAGGCTGGCCAGGGTCAGTAAAATGAGGAAGTGAGGCCAACTTTGGTCATGCTGACCGGCTTCATCTGCTTGTTTCCTTCCTTTGCTGCGTGATCAGGGCTCTAGGCTATAGCAGGTGGCATCGTGGCCTGTTTTCAACCTGACGGGGACCACTGGCCTGGACGCCCACTCCAGACTGTCAGAGAGGCCAGGGCCACTGGGCAGTGTCAGGGATCGTGGTGAGGCCTTGGTCTGGGGAAGCTTATCTCCCTTAGAAAAGATCAGCTCTCCAGCCCAACAGGGAGCCCCTACCACTGCAACCCAGAGTGTATGCTGCGGGGTGGGGGAGTAGGGAAGAGAAGGAGGCTGGCCCCATGGCTCCCAGAGAAGTTCCTAGAAGCTTGAGGCCTGTAATCAGCTGGGGTGTCAGGAATAGCAGCCTTCAGGGAGAAAGGAGGCCCAAAGTATGTCTACTTACTCTCCCCCAGACCCCTGAAGGGAGGCCCCAGCCAATGGCAGGCCCTCCTCTGGGCGGGGTTAGGGAGCTGTCTCATTCACAGGTGTATTACTGCACTGAGCCTAGTGCCTGGCAGATAGTAAACACTCAGTGTTTGTTGAATGAATAAATGAAAGCATTGCTATTGAGGTCATGCCAGTCTGGGCTCTCCCACACAAGGGTTCATTCCTGGGGACTAACTGAGCTGGCAACCCTCCCTTCTCCACCTCCTTGGCATTTGATCATAATCATCCCTAGATGGTTGTTGAGGGAATGAGCTGCCCCCTCTGCAGGCCCCTTAGCCCCCTGCCCCATGTTTGCTGGGGTCTGCCCAGCCCAGAGACTCTGTAGCAAGGGATTGGTGTAATCAGGAGCCCAGGCAGGGTCGGACTTGTGGCAGAGACTGCTCTGGCTCTGAGCCCCTGGCAAGTCAGTGGATGGCAGGAGATAGTGGGTGACATGATCTCCCTCTGGGAGTTCCAGCTGAAGCCATCACCTGGCCCCACCTGCCTGGGGCTCCTGTCATCTGTGGAACCCTTGGACGGCAGAGCTGAAAAGGGCCTTAAGGCATCAGACCTGTGCTTTCATAGTATGGGGGTGGAAACTGAGGCCTGAAGAGGAACAGTGACTTGCCCAGGGTCGCAGAGCAAGGCGATGACAGAATGGAGATGAGCATACCCAGCAAGTCACCAACCAGCTCACACCTATGTTTACTAAGTCAATTGGAACTCAAACAAAGACCTTGTCAAGGCATTTGTTCATTTATTCATTCAGCAAATGTGATGATACCTACTATGTGTACACTGGCATTTCTCAGCGTTGGCACTAATGACCTTTGGGGCCCGATCTCCTTTGTAGGGTGCTGCCCTGTGTATTGTAGGATATTTAGCAGCATTTCTGGCTAGATGCCAGGAACACCCCTCCAGTTGTGACAATTGAAAATGTTTCCAGGCCTTAACAGATGCCCCCTAGTGGGATAAAATCACCTCTGTTGAGAAGCACTGGTGTATAAGTTGAGGGACTGGCTGTGGAGCCAGCCTGCCTGAGGTTGAACTCTGGCTCTGCTCCTTATATGCTGTGTGGCGTGGACAGTTACTCACTGTGTGCCTCGGTTTCCTCATCTATAAAGTAGAGATAATAATAGTACTTACCTCTCAGGGTTATCGTGAGCATTTCATGAATTAATATAAAGCGTTTAAAATGGTGCCTGGCAGTAAGTATCAGATAAAAGTTAGCTATCATCATCATCATCCTCATTATTATTCCATGCCAGAGATATGCAGGTACCGGGAACACAGAGAGATGTGGAACTCGGGCCTGCTCTGAAGGAACACTGCCCACTGAAGACATCCCTTCTTCACGCTCTGGGCTGTGCCCAGGGAAGCCCCCTAGAAGGATCCAGCCCAGCCCTGGGCTTAGGGCTGGGTCAGTAGTCAGGGAGTTCTCGAACTGTCTTAAAAGACCAGGAGGAATTTAGCCAGGCAGTGAAGGGAGAAAGAGCATTCTAGGCAGAGGGAATTGGCATGTGCGACGGCAGGGTGGTGTGAGCTAGCGTGAATTCTTCCAGAGAAGCATGGACCATCCAGAGCTTCCTGTAGACTTCTGGGTTCTCACAGCACTTTTGGGTACCCTCACACTTGAGTTAATGGCTGGCTTCTTAGGGCTCTCTCTGTTCAGCCTGTCTCTGGGTAACCACACTTTTTAAATAATAATAGCTGACCTTTATTATACACTAACAATGTGTTGTACTAAATGTTTTATATACAGTATTTCATTATTTTGTTATATGTTTTAAAATTGAGGTTTAATTGACATATAACTTTATATTAGTTTCAGGTGTACAACAGAGTGACTCGATATTTGTATATATTATGAAATGATCAGCATAAAAAAGGTCTAGTTAATATCTGTCACTATCCAGTTATATTTTTTTTCTTATGATGAGAACTTTTAAGATCTACTCTCAGCAACTTTCAAATATATAATACAGTATTAACTATACTCATCAGGCCGTACATTACATCCCCGTGACTTATTTTATAACTGGAACTTTGTCCTTTTTGACCACCTTTGCCTATTTTGCCCATCCCCCACCCCTGCCTCTGGTGATCACCGATCTGGTCTCCGTACCTATGAGTTAAGAGTTATTTATGTATTTTGTATTCCATGTGCAAGTGAGATCATATTTTTCACTTAGCATAATGCCCTCAAGGTCCATCTATGTGGTCACAATGGCAAGATTTTCTTTTTTTATTGCTGAATAATATTCCATTATGTGTGTGTGTATAAATATATATATAATGTATATACACATATATCACATTTTCTTTATCCATTTATCCATGGATAGACACTTAGGTTGTTTCCATGTCTGGGCTATTGTAAGTAATGCTGTGTTGCACATGGGGGTGCAAATATCTTTTCAAGTTAGTGTTTTTATTTTCTTTGGATAAATACCCAGAAGTAGATTTGCTGGATCATATGATAGTTCTATTTCTAATTTTATGAGGGACTCCCATGCCGTTTTCCATAGTGGCTGCACCAATTTACATTCCCGTCAACAGAGCACAAGGTGGGGGTCTCTATATCTCTGTGTCTCGATGTCTGTGCCATCGCCTGTTATTTCTTCTCTTCTTGGTAATAGCCATACAGTATTTCATTTTAATTCTCACCAGTTTTCGAAGTAGATATGCCCATCATGCCCGTTTTACAGATAAGTAAATAGACTCAGAGAGCTAATTTGATTTAGGTGAACTTGAGCCCAAGATGACGGACTTCAGATGCTGCAGTTTTTTCTTCTCCTCGCTCACTCTTCTCATCTGTCTGTCTCAAACAAGTGCTGCTTATTTGAGCTAATCACATACCTGATTATGATTAATAATAACTGAGGTTCATGGCACATGGTCCTAATCAACTCTGTAAGTGTCCTTGTTCATTCCTGACGCCACTCTGCCCACTCTCTCATAAGCACCCATTTTAATAGGTTAATATGTGTCTTTTCAATCTACTTTCAATGTACGTATTTTAAATATATGTGTTCTTAAGTGTATTTAATATTCTTTGTGTGTTTTCACTTTCAGTGAGCTTAGTTCATTTATTTTATGTAATTGCTGTACTGTTAGAACTTAATTCTGCCATCTTAAATGTCATTTTTAATGCCTTTTTTTGTTTACCACGTTTTTATTTTATTTCCTTTTTTGGTCTGCTATACCTTACTTTGATGAGTTGATTTTTATGTTCCTGATATGAAATCATACAATTTATAAAACCCATACTTATGTTTAAATATGCAGTTATAAAACTCATACTTATGTTTAGTTTTCACTCTCAGTTTCTGAAGCTTATCAGTGTCCATGTCTTCCTTCCATCACATCTAAAAGCCAAGTACTTAGTGTCCTTTCACCTGTCACTGGTTTCTCCCTCTGAATTTGAATTCCAGATTTTCATGGATACACTGTGTGTGTGTGTGTGTGTGTGTGTGTTGTTGTTGTTGCTTGGTTTGATAACAATGGACTTTTCTATGCTACTTCCCATCTTTACTTCTCAGAGCCCGTTGCTCCATCCTGGATTCATTTCTCTACTTGCTCATGTGCTCAGTTAAGAGAGTCTTTGTGTAGTACTTTCTGATGTCTTAGAATCACTTTATTTCACACTCAAACTTAAACGAGAGTTTAGCAAGATATAAAATTCTAGGTTCAAAATGCCTGTATTTGTAGTCCAGCAATACATTGAAAATATTACTTCCTTATTTTCTTGTGCCTGTTGCTGCTGAAAGTACTAGTTACAGCTGGTTGTTCATTTGTAAGCAATCTGTTTTTGTTCTTTAGAAAGCTTTTACATTTTTATTTAAAAATTTTTTTTTTCAGAAAAATTTTAGAGTTTTACCTTCAAGATTCTCAAATTTCACACAATATAAAGAATGAGATTTTTAATTTCTACCTGTTTGGCATTTAGGAGACACTCCTTGCCTGCCCTGCCCCTCAGGGAACCTCCTAACACCTCCTTTAAGGCACTTCCCTTTTCTGGAGGTGGGTATGGGGGAGAGTGTGCCATTCCATTTCTAAGAGTGGAGCCTAAGTGAAGTATACTTAGCTCTAGCAAGCCTAGGGGACCTCCCTGCAGTAGACCCAGCTGGCACTAGATGGTGCTGCTGCCCCCCTGCTTCTGGCCTGCAGTGGGGAGCCTGCCATAGTGATATGCGCTTGACAGCGTGGAATTAAAAACAGGCAAAGAGAGCTCTCCCTGAACTAGTCATCATTCTCTACTTGGACCCTCCCTCACTCCAAGCTGTGTTTCCCTCCCACGCTTGGGTCCAACGTTTTCTCTCCCCAAGGGTTTCTCATAGTCTGTGGGGTAGAGTTCCAAGATTCATCAACCTCCCTCTGAGACCTTTCTAGCAACAGGCCAGCCTGGGGTTTGTTGAGAAGAGGGGAGACCCTTGCCTCTTGGTGCCCCTTCGTGCACCACTCCATTGGCGCCTGAGTGGGTCCTCTGGGCTGAGCAGGTTGGGAGCCTGTGTCTCCTTGTCTTCCCTCAGCCCCGTCCCACGCTGATTTCATCACTTCTTTTTGTCTCCCTTGCAGTCAGACTGGTTCTTCAGTGACGATGAGGACAAAGGGGAGAGAGTAAGTGATGCAGAGGGCAGGTGGGGTGGGTCTGGTCTGAGGTGAGCCCTCATCCCAAGTGGCGGGGGCAGCAAGACTGAAGCAGGGGAAGGTCCTTGACCTTGTAGCATCCCTAGTTTGATGGAAAAAACACAGACCCTCTCCTCAGGAGCCTCTGGTAGAATGGGAGACACAGCCCTTGCCTTCACAAGTCCTCAGTCTGCGGGGAGAGATTTAGGCCTTGCCCTAAGGAAACAGAGTCCAGTAGCAAAGGCAGATCCCACCTTCCAGTCTTGCGTGGAGGATATAGATTTTAGGAAGGTCCAATCTGATAGAGGAAACACAGCTCCTGCCCTCAGCTGAGGGAACAGCTTGGGTCTTCAGGGTTCAATCAAGGTGTTGGGGAAGGCACAACAAAACAGTCTAACTGGGGACATGTAGGACCTGCCTCAAGAGTGCCTGGATGATGAGGGAGACAGTCACTGCCCTGGTGAGCCCCAGTCTGATGAAGGAGACATGAGCCCTGTCTTTGGGGCACCCCATTCCGTGGGATCCATAGTCCTGCTGAGGGCATGCTGGCTGACCCTGCTCCTCTTTGCAGACCCCTGTGGATGACAAGGAGCCTCAGTCAGTGCCCAACATTGAGTACCTCCTGCCCAACATTGGCAGGACAATGCCCCCTGGTGACCCAGGTTCAGGTGAGTACAGGGGCCTGGGCAGGGCTGGGGGTGGCTTCTACATTCCTAAGGGTCCCAGACACCTGGCCAGATGCCCAGCTTCCCTGGTCCTGCCCAGTTGGGGCCCTTCTCTGCCCCCACAACTCTGAAGGGGCTGTGGCACGGCCTTCTGCCTCTCTGGGGAGGGCCCGCTTGCCTGTGTGCCCACCTCCTCATCCGTTCAGCTGCCCTCACCCTGGGGCTGGGTAGGAGCTTCGTTTGTCCTTCACTGGTTTCTTTCCTAAGCTTTTTATTTCTTATGGGCTGTGTCGTTCTGGGCATGTTCCTCTTTTTAATTTTTCTTCCTTTTTTCCTTGCACCCTCTGTCCCCCCTCCTCCTTCTCCCTGTGCTCTCCTCCCTTCTCCTGGATCCTGTCCCTTCTCTTCTCCTCCCCATCCCCTCCTCCAGCGGACCTGTTGGAGATTTAAAGGGTACAGTGTGGCGTTGCGGCCTCGGTCACTAACAGTGGCGGGTGATTATAAGAAGGCTGGGCAGGCAGAGATGTCCTGGGCTGTGAGGACCTCACCCTGGCATGCCAGTTACCCACTTGTTAACAACCTCTACCCCAATCCTCTCCCGTCTGAAAGCCCCTTCTCAGGGGGAAGGAGGCACTTGCTGGAGCCAGATCCTGTCCCCCTTGCCAGGAAGTCCCCCACATGGCTGCCCTCCGCAGTCCCCCACTCTTCGACCTTCTCTTCGTGCTGAGCCTGGCCACCTCTGCCTATCTGGGCAGGGGAAGGCTTTGCTGGTAGTGGGACCCAGCCTCTCTGGACACCAGTGACGTCACCCGCAGAAGCCTCTCTATAGCTGTAGCTTCTGCTTCAGTCACGTTCTAGGACAGGCTCTTTCTGCTTCTGAAACCAGAGCATCTGGTCACTCCACTCCTGAGTCCTGTTTCTGGGCCTCTGGCCCTCTCATAGTAGAGTAGCCCAGAGACAAAGGAATTCCCAGTTCTTTCTTGGCTTGAGCCACTAACTCCTCCCACCCTGTGGATGACCTGCCCTTAGTATTTTGACAGCCCCTGTCTCTGACACCACTGCACCCCTAGCTGCAAGAGGCAGACTGGTGAAGGGGCCCAGAGGACATGGGGTGCAGACAGCAGAGGAGCCCCGTCTCTTCTAATCACCCGCTGCCGCTCCCCTGCCCTGTGTGTTGCTGTGTGGTCTGCTCTTCTCACCGTGTGTGGGGGCGGGACAGGGAGGAGGCGTCTAACTTGCTTGCCATAGAGTGTGGATTAACTGCACCTGCCCACTGCCCCCATCAGACCCCCAGAGGTCCTTGGATCAGTCTGCTTCCTCCCCAGTCCTGGAGAGGACACTGGCAAGGCTTGTTTCTGGTTCCTTCTCCACCCAGTGATATTAAGAGAGTGGGACTCAGGTCCCATTGAGGTAATAATGATTTTACTCTCCTTTATAAGTCTGATGATAAACTGGGGCCTTAACTCATAAGGGCAGATTGACCTCAGGTCTAAAGGTGGAAACTATGAAGGCTCTAGTCACCAGCCCACTCTACCTCCTGTGTCCCACCCACGTCATGTTTGCCCCTGTACTCAGCCATTCACATGGTCCTCTTCTCACATCCTGGAAGTTGGGGCTAAGGGTGGACATGGGAACCCACCTTTCTATGCACTGTATGGTCTCTGTTTCTCCATTTCTCCAGAGCATCTGTGATTTGCTGTGTCTCACTGTTGTGGTTTTGTGGACTGCATTTGATATTTGGCATTTTCTCTCCAGTGCTTCAGAGTAACTGGGACAGGTTGGGGGGAGAGGAACTGGGCCCAAAGAAAAGCCCCCATTGCCTTTCACCTGGGCAAATGAGGGTCTAGAGGCTGGCAGCCTGATGTCACTTCCTGCCTCAAAAGGAAGTGGTAATTGACATCATTCTCTGCTCCATCCTTATCCCTTAGGAAATGACATCAGAGGCCCATCGCACCCCCAGGGCCCAGGGAGATCTCAGGTTTCCGAACTCCCTGGTTTCTGAAGCCTTTGAGGAGAGGGAATTTTGTTCACAGGACTCAGCCTGCTCTTGCCCCGATCCAAATTTCACTTTTTTTTCCGTTCTCACCAACAGATTCCACCACCTGTAGTTCAGCCAAGTCCAAGGTAAGCACCAAGGCTTTATCCCTATTCGGTCCAGCCCATTTTGTTTTTTGGTCAAGGGAATTGGGAGAGTTGCAATTGGACCCTGAGGAAAGTTGTGGTCACAGAGAATGAAGGAGAAACCCTGTGTCCAAGATAAACTGAGAAGTCACTTGCCTCGGCAGGGTTTGGTAAGGCATCTGGTGTAATGGAAGGATCTGAGTTAGGTGGCTGGGAGGCACACGAGACTGCTGTGTCAGGGAGCAAGTTCATTATAGTGGTCTGAATCTAGCTTCTTGTCCCTTCTACCTGTTGCACCTGCTAGCCCCTTGGTTTCCCATAGCTTCTCCTGGACTGATCCTTTGACCTTTATGTGAATCTGCTGACCTCTGCATTCCCTATCAGTGACCATTCTGATCTCATTGCTTCTCTAATTAGTTGGGATGAGAAGATAATTTGAACAAATGGTCCTAGTGGCCTCTTAAGTCTCTCAGAGAGCATGGCCAGGAAAGAAAGCAGCACTGGCCACCATGTGCCTCAGATTGATCATAGCAGTGCTGCCATGTTGCAGGATTCCAGGGGTACCTTCTGGAGTCATGCAGTGTGGGCAGCCATGGCTCAGGGCCATGTGCCTGCAAACCCTGAATCCCTGACATGCTCTAGCTTCCTCAGGACTAATTGATGTGACAGAGAGTGCATAGGATGCAGTGACCACACTAGGCATCTCTGTGTCTCCACTCATTATTACACTGTGGCTGAAACAGTAGGTAGCCTGTGAAGAGGGGTCCAAGGGCAGGTCATTCCAGCCCAGCAGGGAAACCAGTCCCAGTATCTGCTTTTACAGGGCTTCCTAAGTTGAGGGGACTCCACTCACCCATTTATTCATTTACTTAATTGAGCACCTATTATGTGCCAGGCACTGTGCCAAGAGTCACAGATGCAACCACAAATAAGCCACAGACCTTGCTCTCAGGGAACTCAGAGTTTGATATAGATGATGTGGAAACAAAGGCTATTCTGTCGTGAAAAGATCTGGTGTTACAGGGCTTCCTAAGTTGAGGGGACTCCACTCACCCATTTATTCATTTACTTAATTGAGCACCTATTATGTGCCAGGCACTGTGCCAAGAGTCACAGATGCAACCACAAATAAGCCACAGACCTTGCTCTCAGGGAACTCAGAGTTTGATATAGATGATGTGGAAACAAAGGCTATTCTATCGTGAAAAGATCTGGATATATTTTCCAAGGGCTACGGGAACAGAGAAGGGATTTCTCAGCTCTGCCAAAGAGAAGGCTGAGAGGTTGCTGCACAGAGGGTGCCATGTTTGAGCTGGGCCTGGTAGGAGGAGTCAGAGCTCATCAGCAAATAAGGTGGGGCGTGGGGTGGAGGGGGACTGAAGGATGCCCATGCTAAAGTACAAGTCATATTGAGAGAAGGGTTAGTAGGTCAGCATCGTCAGAGTGAGGGCCATGGAGGTTGGGGTCAGGGCAGGAAGGGCACTAATCTGGGAAAACTGGGACCTGGTTGCGAAGGGCCCTGTGTCCATGTTTCATCCTCGTGGGGGAAGGGTCATGGAGAATCCAGACATGACCAGAGTCCTTCAAGCCACAGAAGGATTGATTGCTTCAGATGAGGGGAGACTGGGATGAGGCAGGGGTGGAGGCACGGTGTCCTTTTAGGAGAGGGCAAGAAGGCCCGGAGAAGGCAGATGAGGTCCTGAAGGGAAGATGATGAGGATGAGCTGCCTTTGGAAGCCATTTCAGGAGGAGGAGTGAGAGGAGGGGAGAGGGAGGAATCAGAGATCGCCTTAAGAAGAGAAACATGAATGAAAGCAGTTTGAGACAGGGGTAGGGAGCATGATGTGGTTTCAAACAGATGAATTTCATGTGCCTGCAGACACCCTGGTAGAGACGAATTAACAGTTGGAAGAATTCTGGCGCTCGAATACATTTTGGCATTGGACAGGGAGACCCAGGAGCAGGGCCGTTCGGGAATGGTACTCCTCAGGGAACATGAACAGAAAAGAAAGGAAGCTGAGAACAGAGCCCTGGGCACATGGCTTCTTAAGGGGCACGAGGGGGAAGAAGAGCCCCCTCAGGAGGCAGAGAGGCCAGAAGGGGAGGACTGAAAACCACATTGGAGGACGCAGTGATGGGCAGCGTGAAGGCCAGGGTTAAAACACCCTCAGGGCTTAGCCGTGAGAACAGCATCAGGAAGTTGCCCCAAATTTGGGGGATGGGAATCAATTTAGGAGAGGCTTCAATCCAAAGCATTCGATTGTTCAGGGCTCTTTAGCCACTTTTGACAGCAAAGCTGGCGTTTGGATTGCTCTGGGATTGGGGATCATTGGGGTGGGGTACTGCGGGGATAGCTGAAGTGCATGGTGGTTTGGTGCTGTGGGAAAGGGAAGCGAACTTGGGCGGGTTGGCCTGTAGAGGCCCGTACACACTGAGTAGGTGGAAAGGCAGTTTTCCCAGGTGGCAGTGAGCGGAGAGGAGACGGGTAGGAGCTGTGGTCAGAGAAAGGTCCCTATCAGGTTCTGGTGATTATAACGCGGGAGAGTCTATGTGAAATGAGTTCAGACTGTCAAGTGTTATTGACAGTTGAGAAACTATTACCAGGGCTGTGTCTAAAAGGATTTATTTAGTGCCAGATATGGAGAACAGAATGGCAGTTGGGGGTGGCACAAATGTGAGACCAGCCCTCAGCTCACAGGGAGAGTCTAGATTAAGACCAGAAAGGATGCCCAAGACACTAAAGGGTTGGGAGAGGGCAGCAAAAGTAGTCTCTAGAGTGAACGGTGACACTCCAGCTGGGCCAGCAGTGCAGGAGGAACGGTTTATGATGCCGGTTGGGGTGCTGGGCTGGGCTTGGACCTGTTAAGTTTGGGTGCCATAGAATGGGGGGTTGTTGGGGTGGGAACGTGGAGGGAGCTGAGGCCCTCCGGCCTGGGGTTGGGAGGGAGAGCACTGCTGGTGCAAGTCTTGGTGCCTCCTGCATACTGACTTGTCTCCCACCCAGGGAACGTGGGCCCCTAAGAAGGAGCCATACACCCGGGAGATGCTGGCGATCTCCTTCATCTCGGCTGTCAACCGCAAGCGGAAGAAGCGGCGGGAGGCGAGGGGGCTGGGCAGCAGCACGGACGACGACTCGGAGCAGGAGGCGCACAAGCCGGGGGCG